GGGGGGGGGGGGGCAGAGCGTGAGGACAGGACAGGAATGGCTCCATGGGAGACAAGAATGGCTCTGTGGAAGAGAGACCAGGGGGCAGTCTGGATGACGCAGAGGAGGGGTAACCCGCCTCACACACTCCGGAGAGGGGAGAGGTGGAAGGCATCAGCCTTGCCCAGCTGCTCAGAAGGCACGGGAAGCACAGAGTTTGCAGCCCCTGCAGCCAGGACCCGGACCCAGTAGCCCCAGGAGGTCCTTGTGAAGAGGAGAGAAGCTGCATTTTCTCATGGGTAAGTGGGGGTTACAGCCCCACCGGGTAGGCGGTCATGAGGAGAGCACCACTCACGGCAGATGGAAATGACGCAACAATGTGCCGAACGAATGAATAAATGTTGCCATATTGAGCTTCACCTTCTAAGCTTCACAAATGAAGACAAGTTTCAAACAGCTGTTTTACATTATGAACACTTATATTCACTTCATTTGGCCTTTAAGATTGGACTGAAAAATAAAAGGCTTTACTAGGTTTCACAAACTCCTGGGTTGTGAGGTTGGAAGAGCACGATCAAGGCCACCCGAGCTCTGAGTTTGGAAAGCAGGCCCCAGGAAGACAAGGTACCTGGGCCGTCAGGGCCCTCGGAGCGGCCACAGCGTTCCCGGCCGGGAGGGCAGGGCCCTCGGAGCGGTCACAGCGTTCCCGGCCGGGAGGGCAGGGGCCCTCTGAGCCTTCCTTCTCTTCGAAATGATCTTTACTTGACAGTTTTTTCCCTCAAATTCAAATGCTTAGACACCAAGTAAATGGCCAAGTAAAAGGACAAATTTGATCCTATTTCATGGACCAGGAAATTGTATAACAGGAGAGCTAGGGGGAAGCCCAAGAGAACCGTGTAGCATTGCCATCCCAGTAACTTGTCAGGGGTGTGGGTTCTACGAACAATTACCTAATTCTATAAAGGCCACAGAGACCTGGACGTGTCGTTAGTGACAAGGACAAGGCTTCTGCTGCAGGTCTCAATGGTCAGGGTGAGTATACAGCAAAAAATCAGAATGCCAAGGATGGAAACCAACCTGTCTCTGAAGGAGGAAGTGTGTAGGCACGTGCAAGCACGCACACACATGCAAGCACACACACATGCAAGCACACACACGTGCAGAGAGCTCCTTTTTCTCTGGAGCCCTTTACGCTTGACACATGGATTCCTTGTTCATTCAGCCCCACCCCTTAAAAGTATTTCCAGAACTTAGGTTACTCCCCTTGGCAGCTCTGCTTCACACACAAATACCTGAAGTTTATGAAGGGTGACCTGTTTATCAATGACTGAGCTCCATTAACCTCAGCTTCCACCCCTTTCAGGCCAGCACAGCTGTACTTTACTGGGGGCAGGAGGAAGTGGAGTGGGGGAGATCACTGAATCTGAACCTAAGCCACCAAGCTAGGAGCTCTAGCACCCAGAAAGGAGACCCCCAAGGCCCTCCTCCAAACGGGTGGGTTTCCCCCTTGAAATGCTCTACTGATCCTCACTCAGCAGCCACGTTCTGCTGGGGAACTAGCTGGCCTGAAGGGTCTTGAAGAAGCCACGGGAGTCAAGAAAACCTACACTAAATTCAACCAGTGAGGCTGGGGGATTCCTCCTGACTCGGCTCCGCTCCAGATCCCAGTGTGTCCAGAGCAAAGGGCCTGTGTGGGGCCATGGCAGACAGACCTAGGGGACTGCCGAGGAGCCAGTAGGTGAAAAGCATACTGGGAGGGTGTCCTAGGGTTGCTCAATTCTCTCGGAGCGGGTGGGCCCTGCTCCCACCTCCTGCTCCTTAGGGCAATTTTTGGACCCCCACTCATGTCAGAGAAATACTGCATTTGTCACTTAGGCTTTCCAGGTCCTTTCTGGAAACCACCATGTTCCCCCTTTTAGCTCATTGTTGAATAGAAAGTTCAGGCCGTTTACATGAGAAGCAAGCCTGAAGTAAATCTGTACCGAGCACGGTGGCCAGGGCTGAAGCGATGGCACCCTACGGGCAGGCTCTACCCGCTCCTGGCGTCATTGGTGGCCCCCTAGCAGGACAGTAACCAGGAGGGAGAGTGAGCCTGCCGGTGACAGCAGTGATGGGCATTTCTTAAATCCTATGAATTTGGAATGCGTAGGAAAGTTATCTTCTTTGAATAAAGAGACACAAAGTCTGGTTGTTTTTAAGCTAAAAAGTGTGGGGCAGGGAGTGAGTGCACTTCGGTTATGGTCCTTCCCTTGTGCAGACAGGCGGGTTTTACCCCCGCAGCCCCTTCACCCTCAGCGGAGGGCAGGAGGAAAGGCAGGCGCCGGGAGGGACTGGGGTCAGCGGCCGCGCCCAGGTCCTCTGTTTCCAGTTCAGTCACAGAGCTCCAGTTTTCCCAGGACAGGGCAGCACAGAGCTCAGCTTTCTCTTTTCTCAGATATCTGAAAGCAGGGCTTGTCCAGCGAGAAGATTAGAAAGGATATGGAACTTGTTCCCCATACTTTAAAGCAGGGAAAAAGCCTTGTTGTGAAGAGAAGAAACAAAACCTGTTTGGTGACTTGTCCTTTCAATGAAAACACGAGCCTTTCACAGGTGAGCATTCCCCACACGCCTCCCCTTCCCCCTGCCACCCAGGAGCTCGGGGATCACAGGCCACAGGTGGGGGCAGGAAGAAAAACAGAAAGCAAGCCCTGCTCCTTCAGAGAACACAAGGATTTGGTGCAAACATTTAAGACCCAAGGGAGCAATTTAGGGAAGGAAAGTTTATTAGGCTTGTCTTGTCAGGGTGATAAATACACTCAGAGAGAAACAGTGCCTCATTCCGCAGCCTCCATTAGGAAAATGGCATAGCAGTTACGCGGTTCTTGATAAGAGTAAATTGTTTTCGTATTTATCATAGTTCTCTCTCTTCATTGCTCTTGAATAAACATAAAGAACTGATTTCTTAGATCCCTTGTACAATCACCGCCACCACCAAAGCCTCTGAAAGGTCAAATTTCACACAGCCAGCGCTGTGGGAATTTAATGAAGAGAATACATTTCTGATTTTTTACAAATAAAAAGGTCAGTCCTAAGGGCTCCATAAGGCCTTGCTTATCACCTCCGCAAAGCTCTTCATGAAAGCTCATTCCAAGTGGGGGGCCCACATGGGGAGTGCTCCCCTGCCCCCTGGGATTCTGAGGGAAGAACCAGAGATATGCAGCCCCAGGGCCACGACCTGCGCCGTTCTCCTCAACTAGCCTCACAAGGGGAGAATGTGGGCTGGGTGAGAACAGCAAAAATCAACATTTCTGCTAGTTTTGTAAACATAAGTGTACACACCAGGAACCAAACATAGGAGGGGGAAAAGGGGGAAGACAGACTGAACAGACCCCGTTACCCTGGCAACTGCAAAGTATTACAGTCTGCAGAGGAGACTCTAGTTGGGCCATTTGCACGTCTTCCTAAAAGCAAAAGAATTTTTTCCCCTGACTTCACGATAGAGAGTTTCATAAAAATGGAGACTGACTTACAAATATCACTTAAAAAAAAACCTGGGCTCTTAAGATTCATCTTTCCTTTTCGTTACAATTTTGCTGTGAATTATGGTCCTTAAAATTCCTTTGAAGGTGACCCTTTAAGAGTGTCCTATCACATAGTATGGCAAGAAAACTAATGCCCTTCAGCAACTAGTTGATTTGTTAACACAATACATACACAAGTTACTTCATTAGCAGCTGTAATTTGAACCTCATACAAAATGTATGGCTTTAATTTCTAGGGTTTGGGCACAAGAAATGTGGCCAGTAGGTAGAAGTAAGTAGTAGAAGAAATTATGAATAAATATAAGGAAAGGATATAACCATCTGAAAGAAAATAATTGAAAAGAAGTATAAAATGCAAAACCAAAGTTGTTTATATGTAAGATAAATCTCAATTTATTTTTCAAAACTGTCATTATGAAGGCAAATATACCACATATAGTCAAGGTTTTAACTTAATCACAATGACGTCATAGGATAAGATAAAAAGAAATCAGCCATATCAAGACCCTCTATTTTAAACACTGTGTAAGGCATCTCACTTTGTAAAAAGATAATACAGCCCTCAAGAATCCTTTAACCATATCCAATATAAACAGGAGTAAAATAAAAACTACTTTAAAAACCTATTTAAATTAAGACCATCAAGAATCCATGAGATTATTTCAGGTAGACAGGGCTGGCCAAGACACTAAATACTGTAGTTCTAAGTTAAAAAAATTACAATCATTTTATGTAACTTACAAGGCAAATTGAATACTATGAAAAATGTCCTTCATGGTACATTTGAATTTAAGTAATACTCACCAGGAAAGAACCAGATTCTGTGACAGTGGCTGAGCCATAAGAACAAAGGGGTGTGATATCCAAGTGTGGCCCTTCCCAGTCTATTTTTAGAATTTTAAGATGCCAGCCTTAAATAGTTTTGATAATAATGTTTGTGGCTACAACTCAGCATGTAAGACACAGTCTGGGAGCAAACCAGTTTTTTTTATGCTGTGTCACCTAGTTTGCTATTTTTTCCCTTTTAAATTAATCCTGAGACCTTGCTCACAGAACACAGGGGATCTGAAGAATCTTTTGTTTCCTCCTGTTTAGTAGCTACTTTGGAAGATGCAGAACTAAAATTAGGTCATAAATTAAAATTATGTTAAAATTAGGTGATAAATTAAATCTCTGAAAATGTTCTTCACAAAGAATGTTAAGAACTATCTTATCTGGAACCTTACTTGGAATATTACTTTAATTGGGAACAGAACACACATGGCGGAGGAAAAAGCACTTGGGTTCACCAAAATATCCTGGAGACATGTCCTTGAAAGATTTCCATGTCAGGAAGTAACAATTTCTGATACATCCGTCCCAATGAGACGGCTGTATTATCAAGAGTATAGGGTTTTAAGAAGTTTATATATAAGTAATGAATGTGTATGTGCCCCCACAATGCCTATATATATGTTAACATATGTTTCTATAAACATATTATGTACATGTATATACACAATAGGTGTTCATACACATATCCCCCAACAACAAAGACCCTTCAGTGTGATGAGACTTGCTTTCTTTAAATTACCCTTTTCCACACTCAACCTTTCTGTTCCACTCCCATAACTCAAAATTATAGTACATCATACTCTAAAGAGGTTTCATTTTAATTTTTAATTAAAAAAACCCAAAAAATTAGGCAAACCAAATTATATCAAGAAACAAAGGCATATTTAGGGCTAACATACTGTCCTTTACCCTTCAAAACCAAAAACCACAAATGAAAGACACTATGAAAATTTAACACTCAGTTTTAACGTTTTCTTAGAAAAGGAGAAGAAATCCCTATCTTAGAAAATTGAGTGTAAGAGACCTAAACTGGCCTTCATGTCCATTCGCTTGGGATGGAAGGCTAGATTAGAGACTCAAAAACAGCAAATCAATCTCCCTCCTCCTGAGTCCACAAAACAGATGGCAGTTACAAATCACAGAAACCTATAGGTCTTCAAGGCTATTCTTTGAGTTCTTGGAAAAAGGAATATATAGTGCTAGCGCTTGTTTACAGAAGGAAATCCCAATTTAGTAGTGGGATAGGAGGGGCAGCCCTAACTGTTCTCATGCACCCCGCCTGGACTGCTAAGTCCTGGTAACTGTCATCACTTGTCCTCAGCAGGGCACAGCTGTTGGTGCTGTTGTGATTGCTTTTTACAACACACAGCCATTCTAGGCTAAACAAACCTGGCCATCCTCCTCCTCCAGCCCCCACTTGTTCTCTATTACGAGTTCTCTTTCAGCAGGCCAAGCTTCCGCAGGGCCTCCCGGCGAGCTTCCTCAGTGGAGCCTCGGCCAGCGAACTGGACGGTGATGCCCTGAGGTCTGAAGCCCACAGCCCTGGGCAGCGAACCTGACCGCTTCCTAGCATCCTGGCCACAGTCCGGCTGCCGGTGCTCGTACAAGCTCTTGCTGGCGTTCTGGCGTGCAAGTTTACTGGTGAGAGCTGTGTCCGGACGGAAGGTGACAGTTTTCCCAGTAGAGAAAAAGGCACTGGGCTCACTCTTTAGGACATCGTGGATGCTCTGGAAGCCATTGGCCAGTGGTGAGGTCTGCTCTGTCTGCACGCCTCTGGACTGCTGGCTGCTGGTCTGCCCACCTGCCCGCGTGGACACAGCTTCATGGACTGGGCCTGGCTTGCTCTGGTCGCTTGTCCCCTGCTCTGAAGAGACGCTTCTCCTCTGCTCAGGGAGATCACCCTTTTGGGCCCGATCTTCTATTTCTCCCATGGAGAGGAAAGACACACCATTAATGTTGGCTAGGACCCGGGCTTTTCGCTCCTGCACGTTGACCGCTGCCTTGGAGATGGTCTTGTTGAACTCCTTCCCGGCGCTGTTGGTCACACTAATGTTGCTTGGAAAGCGGTGGATCTTGGGTGCAGGCTGTGCCGTATGTCTGTGCCACAACAAGTGGTCTCCATTTTGAGGGGCCGTAGAAGTCAGTGTCCTCCATTCTCCAGGCCTGCCCTCCTTGGAGGGGGAAGTGGGTGAAAGTGCTTCATTTCCTGCCAACCTCTCAGAAATTTTCTGGGCGATAACAAGTGGAGTAGGAACTGAGCGGGGCAGTTTTGGGTGCTCTGCTGGAGGAGAAGGAGAGAGCAGCTCTTTCCTGGGGTGGGCTGGTGCTGTGGTGACAGGCAGGGAAGGCGGCCGAGGAAGGGCCTCTGGAGCTGTGGACTCTGGCGGGGGAGAAGTCTCCATACCTTGTGTTTCAAATTCCAGGACAGGAATATCTTCCTTCCCAACAGGTCCAGACCCTGAGAAGTAGGGAGAATCCTCATAAGCTTATGTAACCTTATGTAAAAATAAACACATTACATTTCCTTCCCACTAAATTGAAAAGGGTCTCTAAGGGACATTATGCCATCTTCAACACTACCTCCTGTAAACTGAAGCCCTGTCCCTGTTGCCTGGACTAATGAAAAAGATTAGAGTACATGGTTCTCATAATCACAGGATGAGAAGAATGAATTAGTGATGGTGAAAGACTGCCCAGGCAGAAATGGTCAGTGCCTGGGAAGCATATCGTGAAAGCAAGCTTCTGAGGAACCATCCTCCTGAGGCATTAATAAGAGGAAGTAGTAACCTGCCTTATCAGGGATTTTTACAAAGGGGAAATGGAAGCTGGAAGGTGGTGTGGCACACCAACTACTCCGTCGCTTTCCTCTATGAAACAGAAATGTTTCCTAACAGTCCCAGGTGGGGTTTTAAATACCAGGCTTGGAGCCTTTACTATATTCTGAACATACACTGATTGCAGATCACCCAACACTAGATTTACACACCTGTCTCCTGCTGCAAAACTGTAGGCTGTGTCTTATTTACCTTTGTATTGCAGAATCTCACACAATGCCTGCCACAGAGTAGGCACTTAAAACTGTTATAAAAAATCACGTTAGGGAATTGATGGGCAAGGTGGCTTACTTTAAAAATGTGTTTTCCTTGGCACCATTATATGATTGGACATTTTTAAAGGAACAGCTGGTTCAAATTAATTTTAGGAACTGTACTTCAAAGAAGTGTGATAAAAATGGGGAATTCATATTAAGTCTCTTCTTTGAAGAGATGGCTGCAAACTAAGCTCCATCTTTGGAATCTATAACCGAAGCAGAAAAATTCTGCTTACAAATAAAAAGGAAAACATATTTCTAGAGGCTCGTGACAAATGGCAGTGTTTTGTAGTTAGCATAGCAAAATTATTTTCCCTGCTATTTTTTCCTCATCATTACCAATACTTATCCCCTTGACCACATTTATTTCCAATATCTTTTCCAATTAGGAAGAAAAATGGAAGAAAATTTTCTCCTGTCCGCTCCTCTGGTTCTATCACAGGACTTGGTGGACCTCTCTTTTGATGCCATACTGAGTTAAGCAAATGTACAAAGAAGATGCTCAGCTGAATTTTTCTTCTGATCGTTTCCTGTGTTCCTGAACCAGTTGACTTTTCAGTTCAAATATTCCCACCTTGGCGACCATGCTATAGCTGTAGGGGTATAATCTTGCACAAAAATTCAGATTAAACTTCAAGGGCTAAAATATAAGCACTTTCTATAATGAATTGTTACCTAGAAGCCACTTCGAATTTTCTTTCCTTTTACTATATATATAAAATTTATCTCTACGCCCAATTAGTTTTATCCTTCATTCTAGCCCTTCTGGAATTTCCCTTCATGTGCTGTCATCCTAATATACTGAGAAAACATCTATGTAGTTGGACAAACTACCAAGATGATGCTTTTAACCCACAAAAATCTGGTAAGTCCCAAGAGCTCCAGACTGGTAGACACAGAAAGCAGTGCCTGTGTGTCGCAGAAAACACTAACAAAGCAGGCCGGGGGCTGGGGGCCAGTGCTTCACTCCTCACCTGCTGTTTCCGTGACATCCGGAAGGCGCTCAGGTTCCCCAGCTGCAGGTACTGGCTGCACTAAGTCAATGACATCTTCTGGCTCCGAGTGGCTGGAAGTACTCTCTCCCAGAGACCGTGGGGACTGGCAGTGTACCCCACTATCACACAGGATTTGCTCTTCAAAGTCGTCCTCCAGGGAATCAATAGTCTCTTCAAAAAACAGGATGACGTCCTTTTCCTCATGTGTGAGGTACTTCAGGCTCTCGTCATCCTGCAGAGCAGGTGTGGGGTTGGGGATGGGAGAGAGAAACAACAGTGGTTTAACTGGAGAAGACCAAGACCAAGTTGGATCAGGAGAGAGCCCGGGCAGGATTCACAGCACTCTAAAATTTCCCGCCTGGGGAGAGCCCGCCATTCAGGTGACCTCACTGACATACCTGTGCCTGTATGTCCCGCACCCTTTCACCTGTATGAAAAAGGCGGCTTTCAGAAAGGTACAGAAATAAAGGATCTTAGACCCCATTATTAACTCTAGTCCCGGGGTTCCTAGAGAGTTGATGACAAGAAAGCAGGTCTTCTTCAGTGCCTCCTTGGGGATGCTGTTTGCACTTACTGTTTTCAGACACACTTGCTTTTCCCATAATAGGAATGTGGGAAATCTCTGGTTGAAGATGGTGAACTCATATTTATTTCTCCCTCCAGAAACCTCACTAAAACAATAATGAGACTTATTTATTTATTTATTTTTTAAATATATCTTTATTGATTTCAGACAGAGGAAAGGAGAGGGGGAGAGAGAGGTAGAAACATCAATGATGAGAGAGTCATTGATCGAGCCCACAACCTGGGCATGTGCCCTGATCGGGAATCGAACCCTGATCGTCTGGATCCTACGTCGATGCTCAACCGCTGAGCCACGCCCGGCCAAGCGAGACTTATTTTCTTTAAAAAGGCACAAATCACAAAGACAAAAATAACAGGAAAAGAGTTGACAGCAATAAAACTTCCAAGTTATACAGCAGGAAAGGTGTAACTGACTGAGAAAGATGAATTTTAGTCAGCACCCGGGAAAGCCAATACTCAATCTGCTGAGTACTTGAGGGCTTCCCTCTGGAGCCCAGCTACTGGGGGTGCTGAGCAGTTCTGGAAGTATGACAAAGATGACGTTGTCAAGAGCAGAACAGGTTAAAAGGCTCTTTCAGAAGCAATTAGGTTATCCAGGAAGAAAACTAGACATTTTTTAAAAAAAAATATATTGATTTCAGAGAGAGGAAAGGAGAGGGAGAGAGAGAGATAGAAACATCAATGATGAGAGAGTCATTGATCGGCTGCAGCCCGCAACCCGGGCATGTGCCCTGACCGGGAACCGAACCCTGATCGCCCGGATCCTAGGTCGATGCTCAACTGCTGAGCCACGCCCAGCGGGGCAAGACATTTTTTCTTAAAGAAGATAAAAGAGAGATTTGAAGTGGAGAACTTCAGTGAAACAGAGCTGACGGTGAAGGACCGTACTGAAAATGGAGAGTAAATGACGCCAAATTGATACTCTCTGCATAGAAGACTGCAAGAGTCTTCTTTGGGGATCTGAATGACCCAAGGGCCAAAAGACTCTGAGACCACAGGTCCCCAGTGAAATAGTTCAGCCAGATTGCTCTATAGTACAGATTAGTCAACAAAACCCAGTAGAGAATTTTTAATCAGGTTCTTAACATTCGACTCCTAAATATTTGCATACAGCTAATGATCAAGAAGCTGTGACAAACCTCTAACATGAGAGACAATATCAAAACAAAACAAAAAAATAAAGCAACTTACAAGAAACAAACTATGCAGATGATGAAAATTTCATAAAGATGATCATTAGTATTCTCAGAGAGATGAGATACTGAATCCATAAAAAATATGAAGCTATTAAAAAATAGAAAACATAAAAAGAGCTCTTAGAAATTAAAATTATGACAGCAGAAATGAAAAACTAAATAAAAGCCTATAAATTGGCCATACTGGAAAAGTACTACAATAGTTAAAAAATAAAATAAAAATCTTTTTAAATAGAAAAGAAAACTAGAGGGTAAGTGTGAGAGAGCCAACATCTTAATAATGGGAGCTCCAGAAAAAGAAATCAGAAAAAAACAGAGGGGAAGGAATTATCAAAATAAATAAATAAAACAATACAAGAAAATGTCCCCGAACAGAAGGATCAAAAGGGGCCATCAGAATAACCTAATGAACAAGAATAGCATAGACTATGTCACAGCATATTACTGTGACATATCAGTAAACTGAAGACCAACAAAGATCCTAAAAGCTTCTCAGTGAAAAAAGAGGCCACACAACACAAATCAAAAAGAGGTCACACAACAGAGATCAGGAAAGTTTCTCAGGAAAAAGGAGGCCACACAACAGAGATCAGGGATCAAAATAGCACTAGACTTCTTAGCAGCAATATTGGAAACCAGAAGACAACAATGTGATTCCTTCAAAATTCTGAATGATCCACAGAGTTTCCAGTCAAGATGGCAGTGTAGGTAAACTTGGTACTCGTATTCTCCCACAATCACATCAAAATTACAACTAAACTACTGAACAACAATCATTCAGAACTGCCTGAAATCCAGCTGAACAGAATCCTGCAACTAAGGCTATAAAGACGCCATACTGAGGCTGGTAGGAGTGGAGACATGGAATGGGCTGGTCCCACACCCATGTGTGACTGATAAAAATAGGGAAAGATATCTTGGCTGGGGAGGTACCCGCTGAAGAGAGAGAGGTCCCAGCCCTACACCAGGCCCCCAACCCAGAGTTCCAGTGCCAGGAAGAGAAGTTCCCCATAACTTCTGGCTGTAAAAACCAGCAGGAATTGAGGCTAAGTGAGAGGGAGGGCTGCTGGAGTCTGAGGAGTGCCTCTTTTTAAAAATTTTTTACTCTTTTTAATTTATTGGCTTTTTTAGAGGGGGGGATAAGGGGGAGAGAGAGACAGAAACATCATTTTGTTGTTCCTCTTATTTATGCATTCATTGGTTGATCTTGTATGTGAGCTGACTGGGAATCAAACCTGCAACCCTGGCGTATCAGAATGATGCTCTAACCAACTGAGCTACCTGGCTAGGGCCCCAGGAGTTCCTTTTAAAGGGCCCATGCATGGACTTACTTGGACTCACTTGCTCTGAGCTCCAGTGCTGGGGCAAGCAGCTTGAAAGGCACCCGGGACATATGGGAAGGAACTGAAGTGTCTGGCATCAGGGTGAGAACTGCAAGGGCAGCTTTCTCCCAGACAGAGGTGCTGGCAGAGGTCATTGTTCCTTTTCTGAGCCCTTTCCCCGCAGAGTTGGCAGGTGGGCACAATATCCAAGACTCCATCAACCTGGCTATCACTGTTCCACCCTGGTGATTCCCTGAGATCCTGTTCCACCCAACTTGTGGGCCCACCCAAGCTGTTTTCAGTGACTTTTCCATACAAATGGCTTACCTTGGTTCATGTTTAAGACTTTCCTGAAATCTCTCAAATAAGCAGCGTCTGGCCTCAGCGTGCTTTGTACCTCTCTCTAAGTGGCCCCAGGCATGGCACTTGTGGCAGCACGCCTTGGTTTGCTGACCTCTCCTGGGAACCTCTAAGCCCAGCACAAGTAACAGCCACCAGCAGATTGCTTTGTAGCTCATGCTGAGTGGCCCTGGGCAGAACACAGGTGGTAGCTGACCATGGCTTGTACCTCCTGGGAGGCCCCAGAGCCAGCACACCTGGAGGACAGCTGCAGACCATGTCGATGTGTCACCACCCAACTACCTCCGCAAGCAAAACACTCAAGGGGGTACTCAGTAGGCACCAGAGTCCCGCTGAAGTAAGTCCTGCTCTGTGAGGTGGCCCCTGGACAGCTGATCCTCCACGGTTGTCAGTAGTCGCAGCCAGTGCTTGTCGTAGATGAGCCTGGGGGTAAATCCCTCCCATTGACAAGCTAACAACAATCAAGGCTGAACTACAACAGGAGGGTGTACACAGTCCATGGATGGGGGTGTGCATTTGGAGTACCCAGCTCAGGTGAACAGGGAGGCTGTGCCACTGGATTCTACAGGACACCTACTATGTTAGGCCACTCTGCCAAGCTCGAGAGATGTAGCAGCTCTACCTAACACATAGAAACAAACGCAGAAAGGATGCCAAAATGAGGAGACAAAGAAACATGCCCAAATGAAAGAACAGAGTAAAACTCCCGAAAAAGAACTAAACAAAATGGAGACAAGCAATCTACTAGATGCAGAGTTCAAAACACTGGTTATAAGGCAGCTCAAGGAACTTAGGGAAACAGTAGATGAACTTAGAGAGAACTTCAAAAGCATAAAAAAGGACATGGAAACCATAAATAAGAAACAGTCAGAAATGAAGGATACAGTAACTGAAATGAAGAATAATTTATAGGGAATCAACAGTAGAGTAGATGAAACAGAGGATAAAATCAACAATTTGGAAGATAAGGAAGCAGAAAACACTCAATTAGAACAGCAAAAAGAAAAAAAGAATCCAAAAAAATGAGGATAGCGTAAGGAGCCTCTGAGGGACAACTTCAAGTGTACCAACACTCTCATCACGGGGGTGCCAGAAGAGAAGAAAGCAAGATATTGAAAACTTATTTGAAAAAATAATGACAGAAAATTTCCCTAACTTGGTGAAAGAAATAGACATACAAGTACAGAAAGCACAGAAAGTCCCAAACAAGATGAAACCAAGAGGCCCACATCAAGATACATCATAATTAAAATGCAAAAGGTTAATGACAAAGAGAATCTTAAGAGCAGTAAGAAAAAAGCAGTTATCTACAAGTGAGCTCCCATAAGACTGTCAGCTGATTTCTCAACAGAAACTTCGCAGGCCAGAAGGAAGTGGCAAAGTGATGAAAAGCAAGTACCCAAAACCAAGGCTACTTAACCCAGCAAGGGCAAGGCTATAATTTAAAATTGAAATAAAGAGCTTCCCAGACAAGAAAAGGCTGAAGGGGTTCATCGCCACCAAACCAGTATTACATGAAATGTTAAAAGGTTTTCTTTATGAGGGGNCGAGAGATGTAGCAGCTCTACCTAACACATAGAAACAAACGCAGAAAGGATGCCAAAATGAGGAGACAAAGAAACATGCCCAAATGAAAGAACAGAGTAAAACTCCCGAAAAAGAACTAAACAAAATGGAGACAAGCAATCTACTAGATGCAGAGTTCAAAACACTGGTTATAAGGCAGCTCAAGGAACTTAGGGAAACAGTAGATGAACTTAGAGAGAACT